GTTGCCGGTAAGACCTGCCTTCCCCACTGCCCTGTTTGCCGTGAGGCTCAGTTGAAATGGATGCAGTGGAGTGTGTGTCAGTGGTGGGCGTTCCTTCCTGGATGTGTCCTGCAGCTGTTTTTAACAACTGGCCTTATCTTGCTGGAAGACCAGCATCCCCTCGCTCACCCTACAAACACCCCTTTGTCCACCTCTACCTTTCCTATAGTTCTGTTCCAAGTGGTCTCTGCCTTATTTTGCAGAATCCAAAGAATCTCCACCCCCCACCCCGCCTGCAGGAAAGGGCTTGCGGGAGGAATTTCCCAGGACTTGCTGCTCCTGGGCTCATTCCAGGAGGTGGCCAGTGGAATTCGAGGACTCACATCACCTCAGGCCATGGCTGTCCAGTGTCCGGCCCTTCGTGTAGCCACCTTGCTGACAGGGCTGCTGGAATGCCTGGGCTTTGCAGGAGTCCTGTTTGGCTGGGCCTCACTGGTGTTTGTCTTCAAATCGGAACATTACTTTAAGGACCTGTGTGAACTGAATGGCACACTGATGGACAACACCACCAACAACAGCACGGTGCAGGCTGGTAAGGCCAATGATGATAAACTCTGGAAAATTTGAGAGTGGAGCCCCGGTGGCACAGTGGTTAAGCACTTGTCTGCTAACTGAAAGGTTGGTGGTTCAAACCCACCAGCTGCTCCGTGAGAGAAAGATGTGGCAGTTTGCTTCCATAAAGATTATAGCTTTGGAAACTAAGGGGCAATTGCCCTTGGTCTATGGGTCACTATGAGTTGTGATTGACTCTACAGTTACGGGTTTGTTTTTATTTTTGGATTTTATTTTATTTTTTAGTCCTAGGCAGTGGGCCAGGTAGGAAGGACTCCACCCCCGGCTTTCCCTGCCAGCCGTTTTACGGAGAGGAAGGGCCTTGGTCTAGGAGGTGCCTGGGCGGGAAAGTGCCAGTTTCTGAGGCTAGTTCCAAACCGAAAAGCCGAACCTGTTGCTGTTAAATGAATTCTGACTCACAGTGGCCCCATGTGTTATGAGGCAAACCTGAGCTCTGTAGGGTCTTCTTGGCTGTCATCTTTAAGGAAGCAGATTGCCAGACCTTTCTTCCGTGAAGCCTCTGGGTGTGTTTGAACTGCGAACCCTTCAGTTAGTAACTGAGCACAACCTCTACACCACCCGGGGACCTTTTGAGGAGTAGTTAGGGGGAGTCACACTTCAGCTCAACTTAAGGGGGAACTTTCCACCAGGCAAGTTGACCAGGATGGAGGAGGCTGCTGCCCTAGAGGGGAGCCCAGGCTGAGTGCCCACCTGGCAGAAAGTGGGGTAGAGGGGAAGTGGGTATCTGAGATCACCCTCTCTCTCCTCAGACTGCAAGGCCCAGGATGAGAGGTTCTCACTCATCTTCACGCTGGCGTCCTTCATGAACAACTTCATTATCTTCCCCGCTGGGTACCTCTTTGACCGGTTCAAGACCACTGTGACCCGCCTCATAGCCATGTAAGTCCCCACGACCCCACCAGGACAGAGGTGAGTGAGACGAGTTCTTCCAGCCACCGCAGCCCAGTTTTGAGGGAAACCCAGGTCAAGTAGCTGGGCAGCCGTGTACTCACCACAAGCCCAGTCTCCCCAGGGCACACATTTCCCCCAAGGTGTTTGGCAGCTTTGTTAGGGAACTGCCAGGGTGTGCACTATCTCCTCTTCCCCTACCCCTGATTGCTGTTCCTTAACGCTCTTCCCTTGCTCCAGATGAGCAGGCGACTGTGTGAGTGAGCAACGAGTGGGAAAGCCGCCTTGTCCCTGTGAGGCCTGGCCGGGGCCCAGGGTGGCTGCCATTAGCAAAGCCTGAAATGGCCCCTCTGCGCCTTCATCCTTGAGGCCCCTGCCCTCATCTCTTGCAGGCCTCACACTTAGGTTGCTCAGGCTGTCTTCATCCTGCTCATCCCCCACTGCTCCCCTAAGACTGTAGGTAAGAAACTTTCCTCGGAGTCTCTGATAGAGGCCCGTGGTTAAAGTGCTCAGCGGCAAACTGAAAGGTCGGTGGTTTGAACCCATTAGCCACTCTGAAGCTGCATGATGAGGCAGTCTGCTTCCATAAAGATTAGAGCCTTGGAAACCCTGCTCTGTTCTATAAGGTAACTGTGAGTTGGAATCGACTCGATAACAAAAAATAAAATAAGAAAAAACTAAACCCACCGCCACCCAGTTGATTGTGTCTCATTGAGACCCCCCCCCACCATAGGGTTTCCAAGGCTGTAAATCTTTACAGAGCAGATTGCCTTGATGGCAACAGGTTTGGATTTTGGGTGTGATGTGGGGGGACGACAGTGGAGTTCTCCATGCAGCGTCGGGGTCAGGGACTACTGCACCAGGAGCCACGGATAAGCAGTGGCCTGCTGGGGGCTGATAGGGCAAGAGGAAGCACCCCAGAATGACCAGCACCGTGGAGTGACATGTGAGAGATTAGCCATCAGAGAGAAGGACTGGAAGGCCAGCAGAGCCTGGAGATGGGCCAGGAACTGGCCAGAGAGTAGAAGGCCCTCACTCTTCATTTCTCAGTCTCTGTTGGTCTTTGGCCCCCCTCTTCCCCATTCTTCAGTTGAAC